GCCAGCGACCCGCAAAAAACCTAGGAGCGGTCACGACATAGTTCTGAACTGCCACCCGTCTTGCCACCACAGACAGCCTACGCTCCGCCCCAAACCGTCGCTACCAGACCGTTATTGACTACTTTGCTCTATATAACACTTAGGGGTGACAAAACTGGTCCGGGCCCGTTGGACATGCCTGTTTTACCCGCACTTTAGTGCAGGGGGGCCAAGAATTTAGGCCCTCACCCTCTAATGTGACCGCTTCGTCCCGCCCCGTTCTCTTCGCGGACTTTTGCGGGCATGATTATTTGCATAAAATTTTGTATTTTTAAGCCTAAAAAGTGCAGTGCCCGCGGGCTTTTCCCGCTTCGCACTCATTTTTTTGCGAGGCGAGCCTAGATTTTAGGCCCTCGTCCTTAACTATGTTCGCCCAGCACCGCCCCGTTTTTTGTGGGCTTTTGCGGGACGGGCCTAAACGGGGCGGGAATGCCCGTTTGCCAACCCTAATAACACTCTTATAAACTATCCAATTTTTCTCCAACCTTCCTTGATGAAGCTAAAAGTATGCATGATTGGTTATTTTTAAAAACCAAACCTTATTCATCTATAAACCATTAAATGGATTAGGAATTATAACCATAACCACATTTTAATCAAAACCGGTTACAAAACCAGTTATCAATGTAGCTATGGTTACATAACCGATTTTAATTTGGTTATTTTCTCAATAATTTTAAAACGGGTTATTTATAAATTGGATTAAAAAGAGTTTTTTTGTTTAAAAACCAATTATTTCTTTCAAATAGGTTTTTAAGGCCAATTTTTTTTAATACAATCATAATTTGTTTTTTTAAAAATTGATCTAGTTGATGGTTAACAGTGAAAAGTTGTTTTACACATCTAATTATCCAAATTTAAAGCAAAATAAAGAAAATAACAACCTTTATACTCCAATTACCTTTGTAAGAGAGTCAAACTCTCCATTTCCTTTTTTACAAGATTAGAACCTTGGGGACTATTATACTAGTCGAATTAGTTGTGTTTTATTCCTAATAGTTTATTCTTAGGGACGTCAATTTGTATCTGTTAACAGAGATTCCTGTGGGGATTATTTGTTCGGAACACCGAAGTTGGGGACTTTTCCCCCGCGGGGACGGAGATGAAGGGAAAAGTTCTTCCGATGACACTTTGAGAGGGGGATTGAGAAAGTATCCTCCGCCCCGTGAATTCCCCGACTCTGACTATATTTTATATTTTATATATTACACAATATATAATTATATAATTTTACATAAAAATTATTAATGTATTAGAAAAGAAATAGTCATTACTGGATCATTTTATTTTTATGTTTTATTCTATAATGTATTATTTCACTATTTAAGACTCAACCATAGAAAAGTGAACCCAATACATAGAATATACATATCATCACCTCCTTTTCTTTTCTCAATTATCTTTGTCTCATCCATTCATCATCTCCTTTGTTCTCATCATCATCACAACAACCACTCTCCCTTGTTCACTGCTATTGATGCAAGATGTATTTTTATTTTATAAAAAAAGAAAGATGCAAAATATGTGTTTCTTTAAAAGGAAAAAAATGATGAAATACTAGTGTAATAGTTTTAATCGAAAAGTATAGAAATTTTATTAAGATTCGATCTCCATGGAGATCTGTGGGGATAGGGATGGAGGAAAATATTCCCCCGTGACAGAGATTGGGGATGGGAATAAAGAATAGGGAATAAATTAGAGGGCGGGACAGAGAGCGGAGAAGTATCATCCAAACATTTCTTGCCCGGTTGACATCCCTATTTATTCTTGTTACATAGCCACCCCTCTTTCTAGTTATTGGATTCAATTAAGGTTGTGAAATTTTTCACTATTGTATCTTGTGCAACCTCGTGGTCCTTTTCCCCCTTAAATCCATAACCTTAAAATCAAGGTCAGAGAGCTTTTCTGGAGGTAGAATGTAATGGAGTTGGGAGCAAGAGGTTGCGAATGAGAAGTTTGTGAATTAAAATCAAAAGGTTTGTAAATGGAGAAGATGAGAAAGAAACTCTTGTTGTAGATGAACAGTAAATGTATGGGTGGATAGCCAACCATTTGTAAATATATACTACTTCCCCTATCCCAAATTTAAGTCACTTTGCCAACAAAAACTATTATCCCAAATTATAAGTCATGTTTCATTTCCAATGCATCATTACTAATAGAAAAATACTCTAATTTATTACTATTTCTTCTTCCAATTCTTTAAATTTTTCTTTCATCCGTAATAAATGAATGTCAATATTGTAAAGTTATACATAATTTCTCTTTTTCATACAAAATTAATTATGTTTCTTAATTCGTGTGAAATAACTAAAATATCTTATAATTTGGGACGGAGGTAATAGTTTATAACTATTTAATTAAATACGGATATTTAAAATGGATTTAGATTAGATTATGGGCTTGCGCACTACATTCTTGCATAAAAAATTCCTCCAACCTTTCTTAATGAGGCAGAACATGAAAAGCAAAAGAAAAATCCTATATACACTAAATGGGAAGAACAAGAGTCCCTGTTATGCATGTCGATTTTATCCACGGTTTCTGATTCTCTTCTGTCAAGGTCATCTTTCACCATTCCTAGCAGGTCCGGGAAGAAATTCATATTTACAAATTTATATTTACTACTATAATCAGATGAAAATATGTTCAAGGCTACTTCGTTCAAAGCTTCGTTCAGCCACCAAGGTTCTCGATCTTCCTCAAAGTTCATCACATGTGCTCACGCTATTGTCGAAGCTCTCATGTCCACTGGAGACTGGATATCTCATTGTTATCTCATTGAACTGATCTTGGAAGCTCTTCATGAAGAATTTGACTCGATTGTTGCCAATGACAATGGCAAATCCGATCCAGTCTCTCTTGACAAGCTCGAACCTCAACTCCTAACTCTAGAAGCTCATGTTGAAAAGTTCAAGAAAGCTTCGTCAACAGAACTTGCTTCTGTTTACCTAACTCAGATAGAGGTCCCTTCAAGCCTCAATTTTCACTCCAAATTTTCACTACGATTTGGAGGATTGAGACCATAACCTCCTCAAGGCCTTATTGTTGGATCTGATGGTTCCAATTTCTTCGACTCTGATTGGTTTCAAGACTCAGGAGTCACTTATCAGGTCACTCCTGATGCTTCTAACCTCATGGATGTCATGTCACCATCTGAGTCCCATCCATGAATTTTGCTTCCCCTTTTTAACTCTAAAACATGATAATCTCTTACTTGTTTTTTCAATAACCAAAACCCATGCTAGTGTAATTCATCTTGCCAAAGACATTATGTTCTTTAAGTCTTACTCTAATGAATGTGTTGTTTAATCTCAGAGCTCTTGGACATGATAGCATCTACAACTATGATCACAAAACCCTATCCAAAATTGTTGTTCCTGCCTCGCAAGCTTCTAGTCTCATTAATACTTGTTCCTCTTTTAATAAAAGTTTGAATATAATGTCGGTCTTTGTAATAATGTTGAAGTTTCAACAATTACTAGTCAACCATTTTCTTCATTATACAAGTATGGCATTGCATCATGAAGTACATAGAAATGTATGGCAACTTCGTAGTGTGAATATATCTAAAAAAAAACTATTTGATTTATGTTTTGCATGTAGTCTTGGCAAGGTTCATAGTCCACCTTCTTAGCCAATATTAAGCCTTTTATTGAACTAATATTCTGTGATTTATGTGATTTATGGAGCTCTGCCCTTGTTGAGTCTTTTTGTGGATACTCCTATTTCTTAACCAATGTTGAGGCTTACTCTAGATTCATTTGGATCTATCCCTCATTATTGAAATCTCACACTTTATCCACCTTTCAAAACTTCAAAATCATGGCTGAACTCCAATTTAACCACAAAATAAAATATGTCCAACCAGATGGTGGGGGTGAACTTTGTCCTTTCACTAAGTATCTCAATGACTTAGGAATAAACCACATATTAACTTGCCTACACACTTAACATCAAAACGGCTTAGTTGAGAGAAAACATAAGCACATAGTTGAAATTGGCCTAACCCTTCTGGTCCATGCCAAATTACCCCTAAATAGACTACCTTCACCTCTTTTGCATTATAAGTCACCATTTTTCCTTCTTAACCTTCAATTTCGAGACTATAAATCCCTTAACCTTTGGTTGTGCATGCCCCTTTCCCAGATCTTATAAAACACACAAATTAGACTTTCACTCAAAAAAGAATGTGTCTTCTTGGGCTACTCACCCTCACCCATTCATAAAGGATACAAATGCCTAATCATCTAGAAAAATATTCATTGCAAAAGATGTAGTGTTCAAAAGAACTTGGATTTCCTTATTCAAAATTATTTACCAATACACCCACTATACTGTTCTCTCTATTTTAACTCATCTCGCAACTATCTCACCACATACACCCCTACCTCACAAAACAACAACATCAGCAAGATCAGCAGTCCTGCAACTAATATATGTTCACCTTTTAACTCTACCGTATTCTCAAATAGTACCTTTATGGTCAAATATAGACATATAACCAGTCCAACACAGATAAATATACATTCATGTCATCCCACAACACTCCTTCATCTAACCCCGTCCCTACATCAATTGCCAAGTGTCAACTCTTCTCCCTCAGGCAATAACAACCCTCATCGTACACATCCCCAAAATTGTCACCCTATGGCAACCAGGAGCAAATGTGACATTGTCCAACATAGACTTCACCCCCACTTTACTTCTAACGCATGTGGAACCAACATCTTACAAAAAGGCTACATCTTACAAAAAGGCTCTTACTAGTTCAAAGTGGCAAGATGCAACGAAAGTTGATTATGATGCCTTGATGAATAACATTTCTTGGACACAAACAAACTATTGCCCATAAATGGTTTTTCAGATGGAAGCATTAACAAGTACAAAGCCCAACAAATTTTGTTATGATCAAATAGTTATAACAAATGTAAAAATAATAGTAGGTCTGGGGTGTTTACCAGTTTCCGTAAGAGATTCTATGGTGGTCTCATTGGATTGGTAAAACTCCACAGCTTGGTCTGGATCACCTGGAGGATTAGTAATTGTACTCCACATTTGTTGCAAGGGGCTTGTGAATTGAATATTGAAACCTGAATAAACGCAGAGCAAATGAAATGTTTAACAGAAGAGCAGCAAATGTAGGCTTAAGGTGAAACATAAAGGACGAACCTTTTCTAGATAAGGAGAAACAGGCAAGCATGAGAGCGAGGGAAGTTCCAAGAGCTACTAGGGCGGGATTGGGGGTTGGAATGTTGGACGATGTGGCGTGGGCGGGTGTGTCAAGGAGGGCCCAACCGTTGAAATCGGGAGGAGAAGAGCGGGAGAGGTGGAGGAAGCGGCGGGGAGTGGGTCTGTTGTTAGAGGGAAGGAATAGGAAGAAGGAAGGGTTAGGGGTACAAGTAAGAGTAGCAGGCCACATGATTCTCTCAAATTAGGGTTTGGTTGAGTTGAGCAAGAAACGGCGAATATTGTGACGCAATAAATACCTGCTCACTGTGCCACCGCCGATGCCTCACACCAATTACAGAGAAGCTTCTTTCGGGAATCTATGCGTATGTTCAAACTCGGCTGACTCGCCCAAGATTACGAGACATAGCTGCGTTTTTTCACCACTTTCTTACTAGTATATTAATGCCACTTTCTTACTAGTATATTAATGCCAATAACAACGAGGATTTAACGCCACCCCCAAAATAAACTTGGCATCCACAATTTTTATTATTTCATAATTATTCCGGTTCATAAACAAAGAATTTTCAAAAGAAATTTTAAGTAGAAATAGCAAATTTCCCGTACATCTATCACAAATTTCAGATTCTATAAATTTTTGGTAATTCCGTAAATTTCAAAATTATTAATGAGTATTGAAAATTTTAAATATACTAAAATTCTTGGTAAAAGGTACCCGGGAGGGGAATATAACTCGGTTAAGAATATCAGACGACCATCGTACCTCCGGGTAGTAGCTCGTATGTACCGTTAACCCGGCTAATACTCATGGTCGAGATCCATCTACCTGTAACCAATCATCTACTTGGCTCATTAATAGTTATAACCTCTGTTGGCGCATTCATGGTGACGGCAACTGTTATGCAGATATGAACCTCAAGAGTCACGCATTAACTGAGGCTCTTGATGGCGCAAAAAGAATACTATAAAAAGGGGCTCTCGCAAGAGGGATATGCAAGACATTATTCTTGAGACAATACGCATTATCGACGTAGCTCTCAAATCCCCAATCATTCTACAAACCTACTTTCGTGACTTTCCTTACTTTCAGGAGAGAAGTCGACCGAATATTTGTGCTACACAAGAACATTGGTGCCCACCATGGGGTCTTGGTAAAATTATCCTAGCCACACCTCAACACTCATGCACCAGAATGTTATCCGAAGGAGATCCTCCAGACATGGAACAATTGTTAGCCATGTTGAAGCTCTAAGACAGCAGAACGAGACTCTGCAGGACAGTGTCGTTGACTTATAACTTAAAATCCTGGGAGACAAACAGCCGGAAGAGGAGCTTCTAGAGCCTCAACCACTGTCTCAAACTATTTGGGATGATCAAGTCCCAGAAAAATTCAAGTTATCGTTGCTAACAACTTACGACGGTAAAACGGATCCTCATGAGCATGTTATTGCTATCAACAATCAGATGGAACTAATAGACCCCACTGACTCACTAAAATGCAAGCTAATTGTTGGCACCTTCAAGGACGTAGCTCTGTGATGGTATATGAGTCTGCCCCGACTGTCTGTGGAAAGCTATTAAGATCTGACGAAGAAGTTGATTCAACATTTCTCCACTAACAGACATCGCAAGATGTCAACAACTACCTTGTTCAATGTCCGACAAGGCCAAACGGAGTCTCTCGGGAAGTACTTAGTTCGGTTCAACGAAGAGACTGTTAAAATATCTGATCACAATTAAGAGTTGTCCATTGGAGCATTTCATCACGGCCTCCGAGCTGGGCAACTCAATGAGTCCCTAGCGCTAAAACTGACATCCAACATGGATGAAATCATTACCATTGTTGAATTCTACATAAAGGGTGGGGAAATTAGTTAGGATAAATAATCCAGGGACACCTCAGAGAAAAGTGAGACCAAGGGAGAAGGATCGGGAAGGAAGTCACAGTCTTCCTGAATTGCTCCGAGAGACAGATACAGGGAGCATGCAACTCAAAGGCCGAACTGACGTCCCTTTGATTCAAACGACGTGGTGACGCCTCTGAACACCAGGAGGGGCAAAATTTTACAAGAGGTGGTGCATATGAACCTGATCCCAGAAGCACTCATCCAAAGAGGTCCAGTGATGTGATGGGAAGGGATGTCGGGGCTTGGTGCAGTTACCACCGGCTCCGGGGACACCATACCGATGATTGCATATGGTTCAAGAAAGAAATCAATGCATTGAGGGGTGCCTGCTAACTTATATAAAAGATGGTAAAGCCCCAGCTGGGAAAAGAGATACTCGGCGAGAGGATGCCAACTCGGAAGGACCCTTCCAAAAGAAGGGGAAGTGTACTAAGGAGGTGCATGAGACCAAATCAGCTCGTCAAACCTTTAACACCATTGTTGATCAATTCGCTGGCGGTGGAGAAACCAACTCAACTAGGAAGAAATATGCTTGTGTCATGATGCATGTGTCCGGAGACTTAGCTAATGTTCGAGAGCAGGATTTAAATCCTATTAGTTTCTCTAAAAGGGACGATGTCGGAATTATGGCCCATGAGAATGATCATATGGTCATTAAGGTACAAATCAGAGATTGGAGCGTGAAAAGGGTGTAGACCCCAGTAGTTCAACTTATGTACTCTATTGGAAATCCTTCAAGGGAATGGAGTTTGAAACAATCGAGCTATTACCCTTCAACAATACTTTAGTCAGATTCTTTGGAGAACATGTGCAAGTATTGGGACATCTCCCGATACTGACTACCTTTAGAAGCGACTATGAAGTACCCTTTAGGGGACGTTCGGGTCGGGTGGTTAAAGGTGATCAAAAGTTGGCAAGGAAATGTTATAAAGATAGCCTGAAGTTAAAGAAGAAGGTGCAACCCAAAGAGCTTGGGTACTCCAATGAGCTGAAAGTCAACATGATTGATATAGACCCACAAGATGATTTATCATAAGACAGCTTTTCCCCTCATGATGAGTGTAATATTGTGGGAGAACTGACTTGATTTTGCATTTTATCGCAAATGTTGTGGATAACAAGAGTCGCCATCGACTTTTCTTTTTTCCAATAAGGAAATGGTGAAAAGAACAAGAAATACCTTTTTCGATTTTGAAAAGGGAAGGTTTTAGCACCCTTTTCATCCGTAGTTATCTACGGGCTCTTAATCGTTAGCTCACTTTTTGAAAATTGCTTTGTGTGTGTTTTGTTTGAAATTATTTTGAAAAGTTGAACTTTGTAATGATTCTCGTATCTGTCTTCGAGAAAGCGTACAAAGTGTTTGTTCGAAAATATTTTTGAAGAGTGTAATTGTGTGGAAAATGTCTTATTTTTGTGAGCAAGCGATTAACAATGTTCTACCTAGTCAAAGTCTTTCTTGTAATTTCCTCCTCTTTTAGATAGAGCTATCCTACCATTAGTTAGTAAGAAGCCCTACTGTTACATGTGAAGGGATGGGTGTGGGTTATCGCACAATCATCGAAGGCAACTCGTAAGGACGCTTTAGCAGTTTACCATTAAGGCACTAGATCATTTACCGAAGGCAGCATCGAAAGGGTCATCGAGGGACTATGATCTTTGTTTTCGAGGGACTTTGCTAAAGTGCCCCCACGTTAGAGGGACATGACTGTTTTATGAAAGGCAACATAAGGGGGTTACCCTAAAGGTGCGAGTGTGAGAGTGATTTGTTTTCAATTATGTTTATCTTAGAAATTAGGGTTATCTATCGTTTGTTTTTAATCTTTCCATACAAGACCTAATTACTAACAGTAATATAATAAAGATGTAAATGTGCAGAAAATAAATGCGGAAAGAAAACCCTAGACTATTACAATGCTTCGGCCAGATACAAAATAGAAATCGCGGAAAGAAAAAAAAACTACACTATTACAAATCATACACAATTACATAATAAGAAAAATGTGAGAATAATGAACTACGTTCGCGAAAGTACGATTGATATGAAAAAATGGAATCGTAGGAAAAAAATATGTTTTTTTGTTATTTTTTATGAGAAAGAGATTTGTAATTAATTAATTAATTAAAATACCTAAAAACCCTATTTAATTTTAATAATAAAAAAGAGTTAATTAATTTAATTATTAAAAAAAGGTTAATTAGTTAAATTAATTGGAAAAAAATTAGTTAGAAAAAACCTAAGAGTCTAAATTAATTTTAGTTAATTAAAAAACTAATTATGTTGTAAATAAAAAAAAGTAATAGTAAATAAAAAAAAAAGAAGTTGGGCCAGAAATAACAAACAGGGGGTGCAACAGAATCTAGATGTCAACAACTACCTTGTTCAATGTCCGAAAAGTCCAAACGGAGTCTCTCGGGAAGTACTTAGTCCGGTTCAACGAAGAGATTGTTAAAATATCTGATCACAATTAAGAGTTGTCCATTGGAGCATTTCATCACGGCCTCCGAGCTGGGCAACTCAATGAGTCCCTAGCGCTGAAACTGACATCCAACATGGATGAAATCATTACCATTGTTGAATTCTACATAAAGGGTGGGGAAATTAGTTAGGATAAATTATCCAGGGACACCTCATAGAAAAGTGAGACCAAGGGAGAAGGATCGGGAAGGAAGTCACAGTCTTCCCGAACTGCTCCGAGAGACAGATCCAGGGAGCATGCAACTCAAAGGCTGAACTGACGTCCCTTTGATGTAAACGACTTGGTGACGCCTCTGAACACCAGGAGGGGCGAAATTTTACAAGATGTGGTGCATATGAACCTGATCCCAGAAGCACTCGTCCAAAGAGGTCCAATGATGTGATGGGAAGGGATGTCGGGGCTTGGTGCCGTTACCACCGGCTCCGGGGACACCATACCGATGATTGCATCTGGTTAAAGAAAGAAATCAATGCATTGAGGGGTGCCTGCTAACTTATATAAAAGATGGTAAAGTCCCAGCTGGGAAAAGAGATACTCGGCGAGAGGATGCCAACTCGGAAGGACCCTTCCAAAAGAATAGGAAGTGTACTAAGGAGGTGCATGAGACCAAATCAGCTCGTCATACCTTTAACACCATTTGATCAATTCGCTGGCGGTGGAGAAACCAGCTCAACTAGGAAGAAATATGCTTGTGTCATGATGCATGTGTCCGGAGACTTAGCTAATGTCCGAGAGCAGGATTTAAATCCTGTTAGTTTCTCTAAAAGGGACGATGTCGGAATTATGGCCCATGAGAATGATCATATGGTCATTAAGGTACAAATCAGAGATTGGAGCATGAAAAG